CCACCTCAGAGGGCTGCTCTGGCAGAAAAAGAGGCGACGTGCCTACAATACGTCAATCAAACCCAAACTCGCCACTGTTGAGGAGAGTCCAACTCCCAGAGACCCTCCTCAGCCTCTGAGGCTGCAGGTCCTCACAGGAGGAGACCCTGTATCTTTCTCTGTCGGGCAACGGCCACCCACCTTTCAGTTGGCACCATGCCACCAGGGCTTCTTGAGAGCAGAGAAAAGCCAAACCCAGACCCACCGCCAGCATGTCCATTCAGAGCAACACCCGTCGTGTTTCTGAGGATGCAGATCTTAGCAGGAGGAGACACCCATCTTTCTCCTGACAGGTGGCTGGTGGATTCTCACTGCCAGAGGCACATGGCCTTCTCAGACTGTCTCACCTGAGCTCCTTCTTCGAAACACATTCAGTCGTTGCCGTGAGTTGCAGCCATCTCATAGCTGAGCCTCCAGTGGGTTTTCAGAGGCTGTAAGTCACACCCAGGAGGAGACTGTCCATCTTTCTTCTGTGGAGGGGCTGGTGGATTTGAATCACCAGGGAGAAGCTGCCTTTGGGTCTTAGCAATGCACCACCAAAACTCTCCTTTAAAACACAAAAGTAACTATTAAATACTGTCTTGACTGTTATTGGTAGGGAGCTCTGGGAGTGTAGTCTTGAGAGAGTTGTAGTGTCAGTAACCGTGCAAATTGGCTATTCTGTTCATGCTCCCATTGGGAGCATAGTCTCCAGCTACTTTAATTGCAGATATAAGGTCTTTGCAAATCATCAACAGCTGTAGGACCAATATAAGAGCATGCTTTCCACACTCTGTGGTTGAGATAGGATGAAGAGGCAGTGGCTTGGCTCTGAAAAGACTGTGGCACTGCTGTGAAGAGACTGTGGCAAGGGGTAACCAGAGGAACCCTGGAGATGGAGCCACAATTAAAGGTTTTGCTTGCTAGATGAGTAAATGAAAAGCTGACTTGTAGTTGCTCTGAGATAAAGTTTACTGGATGATTGAGGACACCAGAGGTGCATTTGCGCTGCTGAATTGAACCTGGACTTTCACTAATTGAGAAATTGTGCTTTATTAATCTGGCTTGGGACTGCTGGATTAATCCTGGACTTGCATTATGTGATACGCTTTGCCTCTTCCACTCCCCAACTTATTTATCTAATAAACACCGCAACTGTGTATGAAAGCCTGTAAATCAATTTGCAGTGAACTCTGGACCCAATGATAGGTAGAAACAGGTGTAGGAGCATATGAGTGGCATGTCTGATCATCTAGCTTTTTGGTACCATGGATGTTATTGACGGGGACAGTTCCCCTTTATGAAGCAGGTGGAAGTCAGACTCTGCCACCCTTACATTGCATCTACTCCTTTTACAAGAGTTATGTTACAAACTAAAAGGCAGTGCCTTTCTGGATGTTTGAATCCACCACCAAGTCTTTTCAATAAAGATAGACAATTTTCTTGAGTGCCATTTTCAGCCTTGGAATCCCACTGGAGAGTCAACTAGGAGTTGATGCCAATGTAGCAGCAATGAGAAAGTTCTTTTGGGCATTGTCATGGGTTTTTTTTTCTCCTTTGTTTTTATTACTGTTATTGCTATTGCAGCTACCATCTGCAGCATGAAGCAGGCTCCCCAGGGAGAGTGAGCTGGAATGAAACTTCTGTGCACTGAAGAGAACTTGTGGGAATTAATTTGGCTAAGATGAGAGCCAAAGCCTACATCATGCAAAGCAGTTAAGAAAAATAGGGCTGACGCGCCCTCTGCTGGAGCTTGGGGGGACTGTCTTGGGCAGATTTCTGGGCTTGCATTTTATTGATGGGCAGGAGTGGAGGTGGACTGGACGGTGGGGGGCAAAGGCCCAGAGAGGAGCAGAGCCTTGGCCAAGTTCAAATGGCAGAGCCAGGTTCATAACACAGGTTCCTGTCTGTCATACCTTTCCCTTTCTACAGCTGGACTCCCCCCAGTGTTTCCTGGATGAACTTTGAGTACCCCACATTCCTTCCTTAAATTCTGAGCTAGGTGCAGAGGAGGTGAGGGCCCAGCTCCTGCTCCTTTGAGTTCCTCCTGACCCGTGACCCCTCGTCCACAGCCCTTGACAGCAGGGTCCCGCCCTGGGTGTTTTCCCAGCACTTCCTGCCTCTCTCAGTTACTTTCTGAAAACACTACAAAACATCTTTGGTGTTTGTAAAAGAATCTATTATGAAAGTGTAGAAAGTGAAAGTCATTAAAAAGAAGTTGACAAAGTTTGTATTTTCTCTAATTTTTTCCTGGTGCCAACTTCCTTTCAGAGAGGTTTTATTACAGGGGCGGGGTCTGCCTTTCTTCCGTGACCAGTGTATTTCAGACATCCTGCTGTGGGGTCACAACACACATCTGTCACCTCTCCCTTTGATGATGATTATTCATGTGTTGACTCATGTCACGATGGACATTTGGATGCTTCCCTCCAGCTGCTACGACAGACCCCTGGTGCAGTAACATCTCTCCCACGCCCCCACAAGCACACACCCACATTCGCTCACACCAGTGCACGTGGGCAGAAATGGGACTCCAGTAGGGGGTTTTCTGCGCCCATACCAGCTGCATTGTGAACTCCCGAGGCCAGGCCAGTGGCTGGGACCATCCCTTCTAAATCCTGAATCTGGGTCAGCCTGATAGCCCTGTTGATTAAGAGAATCCCAGAGTCTTGAGAAAAGATAATACTATCCTTATCCTTCTATCAGATTAAATTCACCCCTTTTTAAAATGAAATTATATACCTCTTGCTGGCAAGGGAGGAGGTGGCTATGGTCGCCTTGTCTATAAGGACTAATCCAAAAGCCGCACCTCTTTGGTGGTTCAAATCCACCAGTGGCTCTGACGGGGAAAGATGGGCAGTCTCCTCCCATGCAATTTACGGCCTCAGAAAACCTGATGGAGGGTCAGCTGTGAGTTGGTTCCAACTCAACAGTGATGGACTTTGTAGTTGGCGAGCAGATAAACGGGCGGTCCTGTGGGCTGCCCCTGGGCGTAAGTGAGAACAGTATTGAATCTGCGAGGGTTGTTTCCCTCTGTTTTTTGTTTTGTTTTGTTTTTTGGTGGTTTTTATTTGTGGTGTTTTTTGGTTTTGGGTTTTTTGGTGGTTTTGTTTGTTTGTTTGTTTTACATTACGCCTACTGCTGTGCTATTCAGGAAGGCAACTTAGAGGTAATGTTGTCAAAAGTCATAGAAACCATTTCACCTTTTCCTTTAGTTTGGCAGTTCTACCTGTAGAACCAGTTCGTTGCACTTGTAAGGAGCCATTTAGGGTGGATGCAGAGACTAGGAAAGATGGACTCTGTCTTTAAATACAAACCAGAACCACCGCCTTCAAGTCCATTTCTACTCATAGCGATCCTGTGGACAGAGCACACCCATGTCTAAGGGTTTCCTTTTGGCCAGCAGCTCAACATTTATTACACAGTGCCACCAACGCCGTCTGCCGTGGTGGAAAATCACAAAGCGTCTCCATGTTCCTTTCTGGGGAATGGTGAGCTAAACGGTGGCCCTTCCAAGTGTGCATATGAAAATCATGTGGAACGAACCTTACTGGCTGTTTTTCTAAAGGGTTTTCAAAAACAGACTCTAAGAAGAATTGTACACGTGATTCTGAAGTGGATTTCTAATGTATACGGCTCTTCCTTATATAAGGTTGGGGTTAACTAACTCTTCTCCTCTCTCTAGGCTGTGTTACCAGGCTCCAGGGCAGTCACCCATCGTTTCTGTATAACAACTGCTCATTTCTTCCATTTGCTGTGCACCTCTTATTCTGGACTGTTGTAGTACAACTAATGCCTAGTCATATGTTCCTTTTAAACAGTTCTTTCCTTCATCTCTTCCAATGCAGTGTTCATTATTTATTCTTCTTAGTTTCCCCCAAAACCTTCATGTCAGTCCTGTTTTAGCGGTGCTGTGCAGTATTTGTCAGCGCAGGACTTTGCTCCGATGCGTTTTGCCAGTGCCCGGCGGATATAGTGACAAATGTATAGACCTAGTTCTCAAGGACTGTCTTGGGGCGATGATGCTTAAATATGTGTATCTCCAAACTCTCTCCTTGCCATTGAATGGGAACCAACTCAGAGCTGACCCTCCAGCAGGTTTCCAGAGGCTGTAACTCGCATGTGAGGAGATGGCCCACCTTTCTTCCGCGGCGCAGCTGATGGAACCAGATCCTTTGGGTGGGCCACGTGACTGACTCATCATCCACTAGGCCACCAAGCTTCCCGTGTGCGCGCGCGCGCATGTGTGTGCTGTACATGTCTATATCTAGACAGAGGGGTTTTGTTTTTCCTCCCAAGGAAATGGTTCATGTCTTTGTAGAGACAAGTCCTGGGTCTGTTGCTCAGATCTCAAGGTGAAGGCTTGAGGGAGGCATGAGGCCGGCTGTCAGCAGGCAGATGGGGTCTCAAGCTGTTTTCTTTGGAGCTACAGGCTTCAGAGACTGAACGTGCAAAGGTGGTGTTGGGGAAACAGAGTCCCACACGGCTGGCTTTGGAGAATGGTGGGTCCAGTGTCCTCAGATGCAGCCACTGGGTTAAATCTGGAGACCAGGACAGCCGGCTATAAATCTGTCAGCACGTTCTCCCTTTGCCAGGAATCCAAACATAAATACCATGCAGGTCACCCCTCTGAGGAGGCCTCCACCTAATCAGATAAGGCTTATCACACCTTTACAGATCTGCTTGTAATCTCGCTTTAGTAACTTTGTAGAGGTTAGAATTTACCACACGTGAATAGTTAACATTGTACTGAGGATTGACGCCCGGTGTTAACTGTGACAGCTGAGAGACTGAAAGGATGTTCTTTAACATCATTGGCAGTGGGTGACTGGGAGGTAGAATTGGGGGTGACCTGCCGGTCCTGGGTACTCTGCTCTCTGTTCACTGATGTTTCAGGAGCAGGCTGAGGCCCCTGAGCACTGTGTCTGGACTCACCCTCAGTCCCCTGTCCTCCCCACAGGCCCGAGAGCGATGCACCAGGCATGATGGAGGTCGAGTCCTCCTACTCGGACTTCATCTCCTGTGACCGGACAGGACGTCGGAACGCAGTGCCCGACATCCAGGGAGACTCCGAAGCCGTGAGTGTGAGGAAGCTGGCAGGAGACATGGGCGAGCTGGCCCTCGAGGGAGCAGGTGGGTCTTCTGTACTTCCGCATGGGGCAGGTGTGCCTGCTGGCCTCCAGGCCTGGCCTCTGTGTCCCAGATGCTCACCCTTCTCGTGGTGCAGACCCTGGGCCAGGCTCCAGGGCTCTGGTCGGGGAGGATCCCAGGCAGATGTTGGAAGAGAAGGCAAGGAGGAACATCTCAGGTCACAAGGGGACACTCAGGTGGTCATCCTGGCTTCCCGCTCCCCACCCGCTTAGTCCACTCACAGGTCTGCTTCTGCCTCCATGCTGGGGTCCCCACGTCACCCCCAGCCGCACTGGCCCAGGCTCCTCAGCTGTCCCCTGACCGACAGCAAGAACTAGTCCCGCCCTCCCCGCACCCACCCCGGCCCTCCCCACACCGCCCTGGCCCTCCCATCCGGCCTGTGCCACAGAGCGCAGGCTTGGTTTCTCCTGCCCTGTTCTGACATGATTCTCACAGGGTCCTCAGGGACATCACACCCAGAGTGAAGCCGACCTTGTCACAGCGTCCTTCCACTGCCTTGCATAGGTCTGTGACCCTCTGACTCCCTCCTCCAGGCAGGGTCACCCCCGAGTTCCCAGGAGTAGCATGAGAACTTGGCCCATGCAGGTACTATCCCCTCCCCCACTCCTGCCACGCCCCTGGGCTGATCCTCACGCAGAGCCCGAGGCTCCCCTCAGGACCCTTCACCCCACCTCTGCATCTCCTGCCCACCATGGCGGCTCCTTCTCCTCACCTTCCAGCCCCTCACATGGCCCTTCCTGAAGGCTGAATGGCATCGCCCAGTTACCTGACCTGCATCATTTTGGACAAGGGTCCCCTGTCCTGTCTGGGACACAGCATAGGTGCTTGGTGACCACAGGCACCAGGGAGTAGACAGGGCAATGCAGCATTTCCTGCCCCATTGCTGCCTGGAACCCCTCCCCATCTGTCCTCTTCTAGGCTCTGAGCTCTACTGGCCAGTCCTAGCCCCTCCCTGAGGAAGCCTTGGTCCTAAGTGTACAGGGTCCTCTATTCCACCTCACCATGCGGTCTGTCCCTGTCTGTCCCCAGCTGAGAGCCCTTGACCATTGCTGGCCAGAAGTAACCTGTGAGTTTACACAGAGTGATGTAGGGAGTGTGGAACCAGCCCTCTGAGGCCTAGAGAAGCTGGGTAGTTTGGCCAGAATTGCCCAGTCAGTGGACAGTGGCACCTCGAGAACTGGCTTCCTGCAGAGAGCCATCAAAGAGACCCAGCTCGGCCCCCAGAAGGCTGTCAGCCTTCCCGGCTTCGTACTAGCCTTCTGGAACCCCATGGGCCTTACTTACCCTGTGGCTCCAGGCTGCCCCCGCCCCGTGCCCTGAGAGTGCTGTGCCCCAGCCCCTGCTCCCTCCATCCCTCCTTCCTGTCTGCTCCAGCTCATCCCTGGAGGCCCGGCCTCTGCTCAGTGGAGAAGCCATTGTTAAGCCAGGCCTGCCCCTCAGAGGGGGAGCACCTCCTTCTGCGGCCTCTGTCAACTCCCAGTGCCCCTCCTCCAGACGGCCTCTCCAGCACTGGACCCACGTCTGTGCCCGTGCCCGCGGTGCCTGGCGGTGTTTGGCATGTGATGGAGGGGTCCAGTCACTGACTGAATAACCAGAAGCCCAGCTGCCACGCCGGGCATGCAGCCAGGGGCACCCGCGAGCTCCTGTAGTCGTGTTTGCTCGCGGCCCCTGCTGCTCTGCCGGCCTGGCCCCTGTGCTCTGGGAAGCTTTGTGTCTGCGCCTCAGCAGTGGTCGCTTGGGACGCACTGGCCTTTCCCCTCCCTCGTCCAGCCTGAGAATCTGCGGGGAGTGTTCCAGGTGCATCCCTTTTGTCTGCCAGGCGACTGACAGTTAAAGAGGAAACTAAGGAAAAGAACAAGGCTCACCACAAAGAAGTGAATCACTAATAGTGGAACGCCAGTGGGGGAGGCTGGCGGGAGACCCCATAATTAGCAGTTCCCACGCCCGTCTGGACCAGGCTCAGTCCAGCGGGCTCACTGAGGGAGGGGGAATAGAGTCCAGGTGCTGCCCTAGAGATTCAGTTCCTTCAGGCCTAGCGTGGGCCCCAGGGGTCTCTTTTTAGAGATCTACAGAAGGGAAGGGGGAGAGGTCTTAGCCTGCCCAGGAAGCCTGGCCTGCTGGCCCTCAGGCCCGCGGGCTCCTCATGTAAACACTCCTGTCAAATCGTCATTGTCTCACACATGCTTCCTTGTGCAGGGAGCAGTGCTTTCCCCCACCGCCCTCCACCCGCTGTCCTGAGAATGAGAGAGGAACCCGGATAGCATGGGAGGGGGGACAGCACTGCCCAGGGCTGTCACCGCAGACACGCAGCTCAGAGGCTGGCCCCAGGGAGTCCCTGAATGCTATTTGGAGAAGGGGCTCAAGGGTCGTGGGAGAGGCCAGGGCTGGCACAGAGAAGTCCAGCCCTTGCTGGAGCCGTGCCCACGTGCCAGCAGTCTGCACACATGCCCAGCACACACCCAGAGCCGCCTTGAGGAGAGGCCACTCTTGCCTTGTAGATATGGAAGCAGAGGCTCTCAGAAATGAGAAAGAAAAGATCTGCTTGCGGCCCCACCGCACGTGAACGGCAGGGCTGAGGTTACCGGGGAATGTAGAGACGGCGGCCCTTCCTGCAGAGCTAGAGATTCAAGGCCAAATAGGGAAAATGTGTCCAAAGCCCAGTCTGGTGCGTCAGACTCCTCATGGGTTGGGGATCCCTCTAGGACCAACCCTGGGCTGCAGGTAGCTCTCCAGGACAAGAGGGTGCTGGGGGGGGTGCGGGTGAGGGAGTCTGTCAGGGCAGAGTTTACCTCCAGACATTGGGTCCTGCCCACACTGCTCGTGACCACTAGCCCCACATCTAACGCTGTGGTGAGGGCCAAATGAGGTAATGTTGATACTCGCCTTAGAACCCTTGACAGGGCGCTTAACTGGAAGAAGTTCAGTCTAGTGGCAGAACTGCTGGGTGTTTGGCAGTAGGCACAGCACTTCTACTTGATCCAGGCAAACCTGCCTCCCCACCTCCAAGCCCACGGAGCCTTAGTTTCCTCATCTGAATCCGGACCCGCACCCGAGCTCCTGGGTTGCTGCTGGATTGCAGGGGAAAAGCTTTTTTCCCCTCCTCAGTCCGCAGAGCTGGGCAGAGGGGCCTGGCTCGCCTCCTTCCTGGAACAGCTGAGCCCGCAGGGTGCGAGGACAGCAGGCAGGTGTCCCTGGGGCTCCGGATGTCACAGGTCACCCACAAGTGAGAGTCATGCCACTGGCCTAGCTCTGTCCCCCAGGCCAGGACCTCATAGTGCAGCCTGTAGGAACTGACCCGATCGTCACTCTGCCTGCGGGGCCCTGAACCAGAAGGCCCAGGAGTGAACATGGCACCTCCTAACTCCTGTACTTGGTCTGGAGGTTGGCAGGGCCCATGTGTTCTGTCTGCAGCAAAGCTGGAGGGAATCTGGGTGCAGGGACACAGGCCCGTGCCCTGATTCACCTCTTCCCACCCTGTGTGCCACCAAGGTCTCCAGCAAGGTGGGCATGGGGAGAAGTGTGGGGGCTACCAGAACACACTCTGTGGGAGACCGTCCCCCAGGATACACTGTCAGCACCCACAGGCCTCCCCTACGGCCTCAAGAACGTTGTGGCCTTGATACAGGCTGCACCCTGCACCCCACTCGGCTGACTCCACTAGGGCAGTGCTCTTCACTGAGCCCCGAGGTCCTGGGGATTCAGCAGTCACCCTGTCCCTCTGGGGACCTTCCAGAGCCTCTGTGCCGAGCCATCTCTTCCCTCACCGTTAAGATTTAATTGAATAATGACACTGCTCTGGGAGCACTGGTGGCCTAGTGGTAAGACGCTGGACTGCAATCCCAAAAGCATGTGGTTCAAATCCACCAGCAGCTTCATGGGAGAAGGAAGGGCATTCTCCTCCCATGTGATTCACAGCCTCTGAAACCTCACTGAAGGGTCGGGGGTCGGCTATGAGTCCGTCCCGACTCTACAGCACAGAACAAATGACACAGCAGTGTGTCATTTACTGTGTACCATAATGTTACAGACCGGACACAGGTTCCCTCTGGCCGCTCCTGTCCTGCCCCAGTGCTGCCCCCAAGCTGGCTGGGCCCTGCACTCATGCACCTGGGTACACACCACCTCTTTGTCTCCTTTCCAGAAGGACAGGCAGAGGCGAGCACCCCAGACAAGGCGGCGAGCACCCAGCCCGAGAGCAGCGACGGGAGCCCCTCGTCCTGAGTCTGACCTTTTTCGAGGAGGTAGAGAGACCTGCTGTCCCTCATCAAGGGGAGCCCTGGAACCAGCTCGGGAGCCTCTTCTGAACCCTGTGTCCCTGGAGAGCCTGCCCCCCAGACCCCAGGCTAGACTGAGTGGCCACAGGGCCTGCCCTGGGAAAGCCCTTTGCCCCACCAGGGCTCCCCACGCCCTCCCCACGGGCTCCCCGCGCCCAGTCCTCTCTCCAGATGCTAACTGCAGGATGTTATTTATTCAGCTGGTGCTGGGACTTGGCTGGGCCCTGCCTGCCAGAGAGGCTTCCCTTTCCATGGGAGGCCTGGGCAGGGACCACATCCCAACACCAGCCCCTTCTCCCCACCCCCGACCTTCGGGGACAAGACCTTCTTATCCCTTTTTTTAAAAAGTACTTTTAAACTTTTTAGATACTTCCCCCCCCCTCCCCCCATAAAGGGAGAGAGTTGACAATCGATTCCCTTTTATTTGGAAGCTATTTTAAGCTAAGTCCATTGGCCATCTATGCACCCTTCTGCCAACCCACATGTAGGGAAGGGATTCTGTGCTCAAACCTATCTGACCAACAAGATAAGTGGCACCTCGTATCTGGGAAATAAACGCAGATGGTTGAGTGACCGGCTCGTGATTATTTCTCCAACAACCAGCCATGGTGGAGTGGAGCCTTGTTCTTCTACAGCTCATCACAGTAAGCAGGGCCTTGCCTGCCTCAGGCAGCCAACAAGGCCAAGTGTGAAACACCAGAAGATGCAGGGGCAAGGGAGCTCTGGTGGCCTAGTGGCAAGAAGCTGCACTGCAATCCCAGAGGTATGCGGTTCAAATCTGCCAGATGTTCTGCTGGAGAAGGAGGGGCAATCTCCTCCTGTACCAGTCAGATCTGACTTGATGGTACAGACACAAAAAATAATATTTTTTTTTCCTTTTTAAAAAGAAGATGCAGGTGCACACAGAGGCTGTCACTGCGCTAATCCAATGATCAGAGTGTCCTCTTTCCATCTCAAGCCCATCCGGGGGCCAGCCCAGTTCCAGGGACCCAGGGGAAGGGTTTTCCCTTTGAAGCCCAGAGGAGGTAGAGTTTAGGGCCATTTAAGCAGACAGCTCATCAGGAGACCTCCTCTCTCTTCAGGGGAGGGCAGGTGCTGTTACCTGGGCACCCAACATCTGAAGTCCCATCTCAGCCTCCAACAGACCCATGGGGGGTCCTGCTGCCAAAACTCGGGTCCCTTCCACTCTCACCCCACCAAGACCACCCACCACAGCACGTGTACACAACGTTAGCCACAACAGTAGACACCAGTATCTTTATTGAGCACCAGATTCTCAGCATAAATCATCAGAGGAGGAGGGTTTCCGATTCCACCAAGCCGATCAGCCCCGGTCCCAGCCCACTGCACATAATCAGAGCAGAGCCGTGTGGCCACGCCGAGGCACACGCGTGTGCGAAACAGGCGCACAGGAGTGCAGAGCTTTAGCTAGCTGCCGACATCACGGTTTTCCTGGAAGGAATTAAGGGGAGAATGCCGGTGACTTGGCACAGGCAGACACAGCCACAAGGCAAGACTCAGCGGTAGCCATGGTGTTCTTGGGGCTGTAGCCCTACTTGCTGGGGCAGAGAAACAAAGATTTGGTGGTTTATAGTGCTTGGGACTTGGCCCGAATCATTGAACATCAGAGCCAGAGAGGAACCCTCCATACAGATGAGGACCCGGAAACGAGTTGCTGGGACCTGCGCCCAACTCGCTGCCCCTGGATTCCAGCCACCTTAGAGGTCTCTCCCTGCACCCCCACATCCCGGGGCTGCCAAGGCCTTCATCAGCCCTTGTGGGTGGCGTTGTACAGAGGATAAACCCATCATGGAGCCTGACGACACAGCACTGGTGCTACCCAGAGAGGACGGGTGTTTTGCCAGAAGGGGGTCCCACTGGAAACCAGTCCAGGGCCCCGGGCAGGGCGATGCTCTGGAGCTGGACAGGAACGTACCTGAATCGACCGGCGCCGTCATTCCATAGGCCTTATACAGCACATCCAGAACCTCCTTCTTCTCATTCTCTGGGAGGAAACTGGACTTGGCCGCATTGATGTTCTAGAAGAGCCAACAAAGGCAACATGGGACCAGAGTGCATAGAACAGAGACACTGAAAGCCGGCCGTATCATGCAGCCACTGTCCCCAAACATGAGGCTCAGAGGGGACGGGCATGTGAGGCCCACAGCAGCAGGTGTCCGAGCAGAGACCACATAGCTCCGTGTTCTCGGTGTGACGCTCACTCGACCATTAAGAGTGACAAAAAAAGTTCTCCACCTCAGCGGTGTGGGAGTGTGGGGCCTGGGAGACCTTCCTGCGGGGACTGACTCGGGTCCCACGACTACACAGGCCAGGCTTCAGCCTGCGACCTATGGGATAGTCTGAAACACAGGAAATATCTCCTAGCTGGGCGTATCTTTCTAGAGAATAAACAGCTTTCAGAGTTCAAGGTCACTTGACCCAAGCCAAAAATAAACCAGGTCTTAGACCAGGAGGTGAGCCCAAAGTGGTCCCTCTGAAAGACCTCTCACCCTGGCTGGCCTTGGACGATCAAGCAAACTGGCACCTTGTCTTCAGAAGCCCCCGCCCCCGGCTCGGACCATCAGGCCGGTCAGGAAAGAAGGGGACCCTCCAGGGCTCAGGGTCAATGCCAACGGCGCTCACATTACTCACCAGTCTCTTAAACTCCTCTTCAGTGAAGCCCATGTCCTGTTTGGTCATTTTGTAATCAGTGTCCAGCGTGGACTTGAATATGAGAGGGTCGTCGGTGTTGAGTGAGTAGTTAGCCTTGTCATTTTTGAACCTGGGTAGGGATGCGGGGAGAGAGGAGACACGGCTCCCTTTACTTTCCTGCAAACAGTTTCTGCACTTTCACCCACTTTGAGTGTCCTGGTAAACCTAGACCTGGAAACTCTCATCTTCATGAGAGAGGAAGAAACAAATTCTTGGGTGGCTTGTTCAAGATAGACTGTGCCATGAGATGCAAGCCCGCGTCTCTGCAGGCCCAGACCGGGGCTGCAGGCAGTGGCAGTGTGCAGCTGTGGAGCTGGGCAAAGGCAGAAGGGTCTGCTCCCACCCCTCAGCCCCTGCACTCCACTGGCAGCAGTCCGAGGAGTGGGGTCTGTAACGTGCCCTGCCCACGATGCTCACCAGGCTCTCCCGGATGTCTTTGTGAGACCTTTAGCCACCATCCTGTTAAACACAATGAACTTGGCCTGGTTCTTTTTCACGCTTCAGTGGAGCAGCATTTGGTACTGCTGACTGTTTGGTACCTCGTGCCTTGACTGCTCAGAAGCTTTACTTGGGTTTGCTCCTACCTGACATTTCTTCCGCTTGTCCCTCCAATGTCACTCCCCCCTGCCCCAGCCGGTTCCACCCTCTCTCTCCACATATCTCCTGGGATCATCTCTTCACCTTCACACACTGTATCTTTGGGCAGATGATTCACAGACTGTTCTCCAGCCCATGAGCCTCTCCACCTGGACATCCCACAGGTACCTCATACTCCACTTCTAAAAACACTTCGAGAACTTTCCAAGTTCTCAGGACCATGTACTTGGGATTCCAGAGCCCAAGCTGCTTCCCTTCTCACAAGCTGGCACCTGCCACCACTGTACAGCCTGATGAGCATCGTGGGCAGGGCACGTTACAGACCCCAGGTTCACTGGCCTGGCTCTGGGAAAGGCAGCTGTGCCCTCCTGGGGGCCGTGGTCACAGGACAGGCTGAAGCAGACAAGAGCCTCCTAGTTACACAGGCCTGGAGACAAGACTGCAGTGTGGCAGACCTTCTGGGGGGAGCGGTGGAGGCTCACAAGTGCCAGGAGGTCCCCAGGGCCAGGAGTGTGTAATGTGGGCAGGGGACACTGGCCTTCCTGATGCCTGTAAGGCAGAGTAGGAGACCCGGGACCATGACAGTTGCCCTCAGGCCAGTGGGCACTCCACTGAAGCCCAGCTCTGCCAGTCCATTTCATAGCTGGTGACCTCCGTCGAGTCAAAGCCCATCTCTGAGCTTCAGTACCGTCATCCGAATCTCCTCCCCACCTGTGGCTTTTCCCTGTGCCAAACTGAGGGTGTCCCAGTGGGTCGGGCCTCACCGAATGACCGCGTGCTCGGTCCCCATCTTCCAGGCGCCTGTGAGGTAGCTGGACCAGGGGCAGACCTGCAAGAGCAGGCGTGTGGCTGTGGCTGACATGGGCACCCCACTGGACCCCCAACACCTCACCCGCTCTAGCCCATCCTTGCCGTGGTCTCTGTGGGCCTCCTGTCATGGAATCCTTGTCTCCAAAGCCCTTTTCTTTGACGCCCCAGGACCCCTCCTTTGGCTCCTGCGATCTCGGCAGCCCCCACACCCCCCATTCCCTCACCTCAAAGTGCATGTTTTCTTGCAACAGCCTTTGGTAGAGGGCCTCGTCCTCCAGGGTGTGGTAGCCATGGCCTAGTCTCTCCGTCTTGAGCAGGTCCACAGCCTGCAGAGAGGCAGAATAGAGGGCAGGTACGGGCGGTGGGGAGCAGGGGGCAGGGGCCCACGGCCAGCGCCTCCTCACCTCTTTGACCACCTTGGCAGAGCCAACCTCCCCAGCATGCACGGTCCGGTGAATGCCGCTCCTCACGGCCTCCTGAAAGGGGAAAGCCAGGTCACTGCACCCAGGCAGCCTGGCCTTCACTCCGTCGCAGGCCCGAATGTCCCCCAGCCTCCACCTCTGTGGTCAGGCCCAGCTGGGGCTAACACGGTGGTGCACTTGGTCCTCGTTTCTGAATATTTAAATGTAAACTCCACTGCCTGGAGTTGAAATGGAGGTATTCCCACAGCAGCCCCATGGGACAAAGTAGGGGTCCTCCCACAGCAGCCCCGTGGGACAAAGTGGGGGTCCTCCCACAGCAGCCCCATGGGACAAAGTGGGGGTCCTCCCACAGCAGCCCTGCGGACAAAGTGGGGGGTCCTCCCGCAGCAGCCCTGAAGGACAAAGTGAGGTCCTCCCATAGCAGCCCCATGGGACAAAGTGGGGTCCTCCCACAGCAGCCCTGCAAAGTGGGGTCTTCCCACAGCAGCCCTGCAGGACAAAGTGGGGTCCTCCCACAGCAGCCCTGCGAAGTGGGGTCTTCCCACAGCAGCCCTGCAGGACAAAGTGGGGGTCCTCTCACAGCAGCCCTGCGGACAAAGTGGGGCTCATCAGGCAGCCAGGCTTTACCAAAGCAGAACAAGGGGGTCCAGCCTGTCAGCCTTCATTAGGAGCCTAGGGCCCCCCTAACCGCGCTCCTTATTTAAAGACAGCTAACAGGACTGGCTCGTTACTGTGCCAGGCACTGGGTAGACGTGCATACATGTTAACCACAGGTGACAGCCACATCGTACAGGGGAGTGGTGTTCCCCAGGCTCAGGAAGGTGGTGAGCAGCAGGACCAAGGACAAGGTGACAGAGTGTGGAGCGCCCTGTACCCCTGCCTTGTGTGCCCTCCCCACAGGAGGCCTGTGAGCAGGCTGGAGGGACCCTTAGACACCTGGAGCCACTCTGCTCTTGGCCGTGCTGCTCACAGAACAACGGCCTGTCACCCAAAGTCACAAAGCAACTCCCAGGCAGAAGCTGGCTCAGACCCATCCCCGCATCCCCCAGGCTCTCCACTGTGCACCAGGCTCTCCACTTGACAGCCCTGGTGGCATCACAGTTAAGTGCCCGGATGCAGACTACAGCGGTTCAAACCTCGCTTCACCCAGTGATGCAGCAGGAAGACCAAGCAGTGCTCTGCCAAGATGCAGCCTAAAGAAGGCAGGGCGGTTCTGGTCGGCCACGTGCAGCCACCATGGGTGGGAATCGATTCTGTACAGAACCACACCAGCCTGGCTCACATGTCCTCAGAAACCCAGAGACCTCACCATTCCCATGTGTGGGCCTTTCCTACAGCAGGGGGACAAGAATGGCTCACCAGGGTCCCTCCCGCTCTCCCCAGGGAGCCCACCTCGTAGGCCTTCATGTGGCCTTCGAAGAGGCTGCTGTCCTTGATGGTCTCATCTCCCGCAAGGTCAATGGCCACCACCGTCTGCTGCCAGTACTTCTTACACAGCTCCACCACCTCAAGGGACCAATCTGTGGGCAAGATGTTCCTTGGTCTTGTCACCAGTGCTGCTGAATGACCTTCTTTTGGGCTCTCCTAATCACTCCACCCCAAGGTCAAGGCCAGGGGGGCAGACCCGCCACCACAGGCTGCTGGCTGGGTGCTCCCTGGAGCCTGGTGTTCCCTCTGTCCAAGGGACCCTCACACCCCTACCAGGTCAGGCCTGGTCCTGTGACACCAGCACATAACGTGACAAGCGCAGGCCCTAGTCTCAGTCACTGGGCAGGGCCAGCCCGTCTCTCCCTTCCTTTGCCCACCAGAGCCCTCCAGGTGGGTGCACCCCAATCGGCAGAAGAGGGTAGGGAAGCCCACAGACTGCAGGAGACAAAGGATGTGGTTTGACAATAAAACCAACAACTGATCTCTCCCTTGAGATGCTAAAGGGTCTGGCAACAGACGGCACATCAGTCATCATGAAATATTTTGTAAATACACAAATGAACGCAGGCTTGATGTCAGAAGCCCTGGGATCAATTCTGTGGTCTTTGTGCCCTCCTGACCGAGGGTCAAGAGGATTTGTCTCCCTCTGCCACGGCTTCCTCAGCTGTCAAGGGGGGCCAAGCGGTGCTCAGTCTACCACACAGGCTATGAGCACGAGGAAGATGCTTCCCAGGGGCTCGGCACTCGCCATAGGTGGTGGTTACAGCCCTGTGCTGGGTCCTCTCTAGGAGGACGCTTCCCAGGGGCTCTGTACTCCCCGTGGGGGGTGGTGATAACCCTGTGCTGGCTTCTCTCGGGTCCTCGACTGAGCAATGTCAAGCAGCTCTGTGAGACATGTGACTGCAGTCAGACAAGGAGGTGTCTTGCCTAGGGCCAACAGTGGGGCTGCCCCACTCCGGAAGGTCAAGGCCACATATCTCATCAGAGTCAGTGGCAAGAGACACTCTCAGAAGTGTGAGAAATGGGACTTCCCACAGGTTCTGCGGCCCAGCCTGGAGGAGGCCAGGCCCGCAGGACCTCAGGGGAGACTGAGCCAATCAGAGAACCTGGCTCAGATTTTTAAACTATTGCAATGCTTTTGGTCTGGAGTCTCCGGGAGGTCCCGGCCCACAGACTCCAAAGGCGTAAACAGGGCTGCCTAGGGGGGAAGTGCACCCAGCATGCTCCTGAGAGGCAAGCATGCCGACACTTCAGCTCACGTATTTTAGAGATGTTGTCAGGAGGGGGCCGGTGCTTGAGAAAAGAGCTCACCCTGACAAAGGTGGACAAGGGTCAGAGAAAGAGGTGACATGACACAGTGACTGTGATCATGGACTTGAATCTGTCAGAGGTGGTAAGGACGCTGCAGGGCAGTGTGACGTTCAGAGCTCTTGTGCACAGGGTCCCGGTGAGAGGTAGTCAACGTGAAGGCACCGAACAACAACACAGGTCATGTGATTGTCACTGCCACACACACACCCCCCCCCCCCGGGGGAAGCAGGCCTGCCACCAGGAAGTTCTAAGCCTGACCAGCAGGGTGGCTTTGGAGGGTGTCATAGAAGAGGGGGAGTCCAGATCACCAGATCTAATGGCAGCTGGAGGTCAGGGTAGCAGGCAGATGGTCCATGGACTCACCGGGCATGTGGCGCATACAGCACAGGATGGACCGGGCCTTGATCTTGAAGTCTCGCTCGCCCTCCTGCAGGCCCTGGTTCACGAGGTATACTACCTCGTCTGGTGTGAGGTCCCCTCTGTGTGGGGAGAAGGGCAGGGATGGGCCTGAGGCAAAGGGAAGGTTGAAAGGATAGATCTGGGCAGGTGGCAGGGAGGAAAGGGGAAGAGGGATCCAGGAAAAAAGGCAGAGGGAAGAAGAAAGAAGGTGGGCAGATAGCCCAAGCCCTGGACACACCCTTCCCAGCTGCCTGCGCACCAGGAAGGAACAGGGGTGGGGGAGTGGGTGACCCAGGTGGAGAGCACTGCTCATCTCCTGCCTGGTCTGAACCTCTTAGAGGCTCCTGGGGACACCACCTTCTTATTCACAAATATTAGACTCATGGCTCAGAAGGGGCAGAATTATTGAATGCCACCCCCCATCGGGGTGCACTGAGGGGCAGGAAAGAGCCTGACCAATTTAATGTAAAGCGTCAGTACAATGACCCCTGAAATCCAGAGTGAAGGAGTTAACATCTGACCACAGCAGGAGTCCAGGCCCAGGAGCTTGTGCGACAGGATGCAGCAGAGAGCTTCCACCCAAGGTCACAGCATAAACCCAAGGGCAGCGGTGGGAACCGCATCTCTGGACAGCCTTAAATCCCACCCTTCTAGGGCCATGGACCAGATGGGGCCAGAACAGAGTTCTATCTGGGGCAGGGACGTGGCCTGTCTGGCCTGGGGGTCTCATTCAGGGTGGGGCCATAGCACACACCCCCCAGGCACAGCCCCTCCCTGTCGTCACTCACTCAGCCTGATTCCAGGGGATGGGGTGCACTTTGGAGTTGGCCAGCAGGTGTGGGCTGTAGCGCACCTCCACGTACACCACTCCCTCCTTGGCCTTCATTTCAACAAACTCGTAGGCAATCCTTTTGATGGCCTCCCGGCAGCCCCTGGGAGGAGGAGGAGGAAGAGGAGAATGGGTTGGGGACAACCTTCCCACAAGTCACCTGGGAGCTCCGGGGACCACAGGCTCTTCCCAGCCCCCGGGTGGATCACATTCATCTCTGACTGTAACCCCTCCACCCCCAGCGCGGAGCTCGGGGCCCCCGCTGAGGAAGACCCGGACATCAGGCAAGTGAGAGATTATGTCCAACTTGATTTCCAGAGGCTGTTCCAACCCTCACCTGCCCCACTGTGGCTCAACCATTCCCTGTCCCTGACTGGCAACCCTGCCTCTCTCCTCACCCTTGGAACTCCGCACACAGTGGCTCACACCATTTTCAAAAACAGAAATGGAAACATTTGTGCTGCTTCTACTCTAAGCTGTCAGGAGCTCTGGTGAGCTTGTGGGCAAGGAATTGCATTGCTATTTCCAAAGTAGGTGGTTCAAATCCACCAGCTGCTCCTCAGGTGAAAGACAGGCTCTTCTGCTATTTACAGCCGCTGGGTCAATTAGGAGTCAGTTCTGACTTGATGGCACACAACAACAACAACTTCCTCCCAAGGCCGGAGTGTCTGCCCTGCCAACCTCCCCTCCCTCTTCCATTCCACTGAGTCACAGGCGCCTTGGAAACCCAGCAGGCTCATTGTCATGGCATTGCCTTTGCAGCCCTCTGTCAAATCTTCCCTCCTCCACGCAGACCTCAGCTCAAGCATCACCTCCTCAGAGAGGCCCTCCCTGACTACCTTCCTGTAAATGGCACCTCCGCCATTCCCTCTCCCTCCTCCAGCTCTATTCTTCTCTATCCTGCTCATGTCTACCTGGCTTCATACATCATTTCTCCACCAGCTGATTTTCTGCTTCTCCTACTAGAAAGTAGGCTTCAGGAGGGCAGGCTCTCAGTTGAGGGGAGAGAGCCTAGGACATGTGGCCGCTCAAATACTTGTTGATTGACGGAAGATGGCTGGCAGGAGACAGAAATAAGAAAAAGGCAGACAGACAGGAAATTCCAGAAATTCTGGGGTGGGAGAGGCCCCCTGGGGCTCAGCTATGGACCAAATCCTGCTTCCCACAATTGCCAGCTGTGGGACTGTGTTCAGATCTGTTGTACAGGGAGGGTTGCTGTGAGTTGAAAACAACTCCATGGTCCCTAACAACAGCATCATTAATATTAACATTATTAATATTAACACTATGTCCTACGTACAGGGTTACAGTCTGTCATTGGTCGATGTTACTCATTCGCAGATGTTCAATGTTATGTTTTACTGTTTAAAATACTGATGTATATGTTTCATTTTAAAAACAGAACCAGGAGCTTCAGTTGCTCCAGGACACGGACCCAAATGCTGGTTGCTCAGCTCAAGTCGATAAGCAGGTTTAGAATGCAGGGAGAAGACACCAGGAGAAATAAAAAAGGAATAGAGAAGGAAGAGACAGTCAGCTCTCGGGAATCTTCACTCTAGAAATGCCGTCTCCATTCCAGAGACAATCCAGAACCTTCTACACGTGGCGGCGTGACCACAAATGCCAACAGCATCCAACTCTTCCTCATCAGAGTACACTTTAATGGCCTGTGTACTCTTCTATGTATTAAAATGAGCTTAAATGTAATGGTTCCAACCCCCAAAGACATATAAGGACCACATTTATAAAGAGACTTCTAATAAGAGGCAACATAATAATGAAGGCAACAAAAATATGGGTTCAGTAATAAAAACAGGGGGAGGAAAGTGAGGTGTTTGACTTATATGAGAACTGACTTAGGACAAAACTGCTGGACCAGAACCCCGCTCTAAGTTGGGGAATTCCTGTACTAGCAAGATGCTCTCCTCACCCTTGTACTTTGCCACTTCTCCATAGAAGGCGGCGGCGTTTCAACCCTGTCCAGAAGGAAAAACCAAAACCCACAAAATACCCATTTCAGTGAGAAGCCTCAGGGCTGGGGGTGAGGGACCACTCACGCGATAGCAGGCATGTAGTAGTCAAACTTGGCCAGGAATCCCGGGAGCGAGAGGGGCTCGTCCATTCCTATGATCTTCTCCAGCTCCTCCACTGTGTAGGCCGGGAGGGTGACCCCTCTCTTCCTGGGGACAAAAAGTGATAGGGATGCATCAGGCACATGCGCAGACCTCCAGACCTCGGCACGAAACGGGCTCTCAACCCAACTGCTCCCATTGGACAGATGGGAAAACTGAGGCCAAAGCAGGAACAATCCTTCCAGCACCTCATGCCTCCAGACACTGACAAGTCAACAGGGAGTATGCGCGCACGTGCGTGCGTGTGTGTGTGTGTGCGTGTGTGTGTGTGCGTGTGTGTGTGAAAATAAACAGAAGTCAATGTTCACACACAACTCCTGAGACAAGAGAAAATGGTAGGACAAGCCTGTAACTTCCTCTTCAACCCCAGGAGCGGGCAGGGCCAGCTGGTTCTGGGCCAGGCCAGGGGTTATCAGGGGCAATAACTGCAGCATCACAATACCCGGGGCAGGCGCCAACGCCCAGACTTCCCTCCTCCACCCTCAGTCTGGCCAGCACATCAGAGAGCCCTGGTCATCCCAGGATGCTGGGAAAGAGCCTGGCAGGTAGGTGAGCTGTCTCCAGCTCAGAAGTCTCGCCCTTACCTGCCACCTCTGCTCTCTAACTCTGCCAAGTCTGCCCCAGCCCAGGGCATCACTCTGCACCTGTTTTCCCACTTTTGAGATGAAAGAGCAGCGGTCAAGGAGGCCACGTAAACACTGTAGATTTAGGGACAGAGCCCAGGATGGGAGAACAGAGAGGATCACTGGGATGCAAGCAATGCAGAGAACAGAAGAAGCTTCAGAGAAATCCCTACAAGGAGCATCCTCAAGGACACGAGAAGAGACCGCACCCTTAACGTAGAACCAGGACGCCTTCATTTAAAAGGGAACATTCCGAACAAAAGGGAGGAGGTCACCCACACTCATTCATTGCCATGAGTCAGAAGCAGCTCACAGCTGACCCTCCAGAGGTTGTCAGAGGCTGAAAATCACACAGGGGAAGAGAGCCCGTCCTTCTCCCTCAGAACGCCACCTGGGAGGCAGCAGCTCAACTCTCTACTGACTACATGGCCAGACCTCCTGTTTGGAAATTTTAAAAAGCCTGGGAATCCCAGAACACTTGATTGTACTTATGAGAAACCTATACTTGGACCTGGAGGCAGTCGTCAGAACAGAGTCAAGGAAACACCGCATGGTTCAAAATTGGGAAGGGTGGGTGCCGGGAATGTGTCCTATCTCCATATCTTTTCATTCTATATGCAGAACAGATTATCCAGGAGGCTGGGCTCTATGAGGAGAAGTGCGGCATCAGGATTAGAGGAAGCCTCATCGACAGTCTGCATTATTCAGATGACACAACCCTGCTTGCTGAAACTGAGGAGGGTCTGAAGAGCTTGCTGCAGAAGGTCAAGGACTGCAGCCTTAAATATGGATTGAAGCGCAACATCAAGAAAATAAAGATTCTCACCACTGAGCCAACTGGCAGCATCATGATAGATGGTGAAGAGATTGAAATTATTAACAGCTTTAGTTTGCTTGGGTCCACAATCAACACTCTTGGTAGCAGCAGCCAGGAAATTAAAAGACAAATTTCATTGGGAAAGTCTGCTGTCAGAGACCTCTCCAATGAACTGAAGAGCAACAGTGTCAGTCTGGAGACTAAGGTGCACCTGATCCAGGCCATAGTCTTTGTAATTACTTGCTATGCATCAGAGAGTTGGACAATGACTAGGGAGGATAGAAGGAGGATTGATGCTTTTGAGCTTGTGGTGTTGGAGAAGAGTATTACATATACCATGGGTTGCTAAGAAAATAACAGGTTCCTCCTGGAGAGGGTTAAACCAGGCTGCTCCTTGGAGGCAAGGATTCTGAAGCTTCATCTGACATACTTTGAACATGTTGCAAGGCAAGACCAGGGACATCATGCTTGGGAGGGTGGAGGGACAGCACAAGAGAGGAAGAATCTTAATTAGACGAACTGATTCCGTGCTTGTGGTAATGAGGGTAGATGTGTCAGAGACAATTGGCACAGGATAGAGCAGGGTTTAGGGTTGTTGTATATAGGGCTAGGAGTCACAGGTGACTCAATGGCATATAACAACAACAACAACATGGCAGCAACACTCAGGATACAGTTAAAGGCATGGCAGATGCTGAATCAATCTTCCAGAACACAGAACAAAAAGACAGTGAGATGAAACCTGGGAGCAAGAAGTTAAGAAAAGAGAAGATTGCAACAAGAAGTTCAAGTATTCAGGCATCCACAAGGTGGGACAGGAAGTAGAGAGGAAGAAATAGTCAAATAAATCAGAATTCAATGTGTGCTAGCCCTTGAAGAGTTTCTCTTAGTAAACATTAAAAAGTCCACTACATAAGGATGGGCAATCTCCTCCCGGGCGATTAGCTGCCTCTGAAAACACACTGGAGGGTCAGCTATGGGTCGGTTCTGACTCTGTGGTCCACAACAACAACAGGACCTGTGTCACAGCTCTGAGTGTGCCTCCATCCCTGCCCGTGGCCCAGGCCCTGCAAGTGCCCACCAGCCTACCCAGCAGTCCACACACGATTTGGCTTGAGTGTCCAGGGAGGGGATCTTGGAGGAGAGGTCACTGATGCAGAGGGGTCGGGTGGGAGAGGGGGAGGGGGAGGAGGAGGACACGGGCCGGGGATGAGCAGTGCTCAGGGCTGCAGGCAGGGAGGCAGGAGGGAGCTGGAGGGTCAGCGGCAAGGGGTCAGGAGGAGGATGAGCCAGGAGGCCGGCAGGCCAGGCTGCAGAGGTCCAGGCTCAGTGCTAAGAGGCTGGGATGTATCCTGGGAACACCGGGAAAGCCACAGAAAGAGCTTCATTAGGCAGGGGTGTGGCACCGAGTGATTTACCTGCTGAAAGGTTCACCCCGGCTGCAGGCAGGGAACAGATGGGGGGAATTAGAAGACGAACAGAACCAATCCCACAGGGGGCAACAGTGAATGTCCAAGTGGAGGCTTCTCAGGCTGAGCTCTGTTCTCATCCTCAGGGGTCCTCACCAAAGCCCCCAGCGGGGGAGGGGGTATCCCGTCCGTCCACAATCCATCCTAGTGGGTGAGCCCCCCACAAGGAGCTCAGCTTTAGAGCTGATGGGGTGGGAGGCCCAGGCTTTGGGTCAGGCAAAGGATGCCAAGAAGTTCCTTTTTTACCACACCACCCTGTGCAGATGTCCCCAGATACCTTATCATCCCCCAGCAGTGAAACACAGATATTTTCTCTGAGGGGTACAAGGAAGATGAAATGAGGATATTATTATGGGAACACAATGGATTCTAAAACTAGACAGTCGTGCTTGAATCCCAGCTCTGGTACTTAAAGGGTGTGCAGCCCTGGGAGAAGGTATCTAATCTCTCTGTGCTTCCTGTTTATTTTTTTTTTTAATTTTAGTTATTTTTTTTTTTTATGTGTGTATCGTCAAATTGGATCTGACTGGTACAGGAGGCGACTGTTCCTCCTTCTTCAGCAGAGCATCTGGTGGATTTGAACCGTGCACCTCTGGGATTGCAGTGCAGTTTCCTGCCACTAGGCCACCAGAGCTCGCCAGGCCACCAGAGCTCGCCTCTCTGTGCTTCCTAAGTAGAGAAAGACCCAGAGAGGACTCAGCAGGGAGGAAGAGGAGGGCAGAGAGGGAAAAGGCTTTGTAGGAACCTGGGGGCCCCATGTAGACTGGCTCTGGGCTTAAATGAGAGGGGAGCAGGGGAGGGATTTGAAAAGGTTTCTGACCAGACTCATCTGAAGAGCACTGTTTTGAGTACAGAGCTGTGTCAACAGTGGCTGGGGGACATGGGGACCAGCCCAGATGCCACTGCAATAGAGTGAGCAGTGAGGTGGCCCAGGGCAGGCGTGAGGATGGGGCTCGGACAGGTCACACTGAGCATGTGCTGTGAAGAGCTGAAGCTGTTGTGAAGCCGACTTGACTAAGAGCAGAGAGAAGCCTCAGAGGGAACTGAAAGAAGTGGGGAGGACAGAGTTAAGGGGGGGTGAGAGAAGGGGTGACAGATGTAGGTGAGGGTTCAGAGGTACCCATATTTGGGTCCCGCTCGGGTCCCTGAGTCAGCCTGAGACGCCACAGCAGCGTAAGAAACCTGCCGCCCAGCAGCCCCACAGGGCGTCCCTTCCATTTCCCTCGGCCAAAACACTCCCTGCTCCTGCTCCCACTAATGAGTGTTCTATGACCCTTTAATGAGCACCCCAAGATTAGATCCCATCTCGCTCCCTGATAGAATATCCTAATTTCCTCATTAGGGGCCCCGCGGCAGTGACTGATGGCTGGATGTGGGCAAAGGACAGGACAGATAGGCCACGAAGGCCTGGCCCGCACTCAGCTTGAGGCCTAACGTTGTACCCAATAATAAGCATGTCACCAAGTGCCATTTACGCAGCACTTAGTCGTGTGGGCCAGGCCCTGAGCTCAGGCCTTTGTGTGTTACCTGACCTAAACCTCTACCGGGCAGGTGGGATGGCCTGGACGGGGCCATGGACTCTCGGACCAGAACACCAGGGTTCCTGACTCAGCTTCTGCTCTCTAAGCAAGTGGTTGTACACGTGTCTGCAGCTCAGTGTCCTTATCTGTAAAATGGGGGTACTAACTTGATCCAAGCTATGGTCTTTGCAATTACTTGCTATGCATCAGAGAGCTGGACAATGATTAAGGAGGAGAGATGAACAATTGGCGTCTTTGAGTTATGATGCTGGAGAAGAGTATTGAACACACCATGGACCATCAAGAAAACAAAGAGGTCCATCTTGGAGAGGGTGAAACCAAGCGTCTCCTTGGAGGCTAGGGTTTTGAAGCGCCAACTCACACACCTTGGGTACATGGCCAGGAGGGACCACCCCTTGGAGAAGGACATCATACTTGGAAGGGTGGAGGGACAGTGCAAGAGAGGAAGATCTTAGATAAATTAGACTAGATCTTAGATGAGTTAGACTGATACAGTGACTTGGACAATGGGGGCTGAATGTGTCTGAGTCAGTGAGACTGTCTCAGGACATGGCAGGCTTCAGGGCTGTTGTACATAGGGTCACTATGAGTTGGAGGTGACTCGACAGCACATAACAACAACACTACCTACGTCCCAAGTGGTCTTAAGGATTCAATAAGTTAACTCAAGCAAAACACTAAAAAAAGCGGTATTCAGTGCATATTGTTGTGTGTACCACAGTCAGAACCGACCCATAGCTGACCCTCCAGCAGGTTTTCAGAGGCAGTTAACCACACAGGAGGAGATTTCCTACCCTTCTCACACAGAGCAGCTGGCGGCCTCGAACCATGTGCCTTTGGGACTGCAGCACTGCTTCTTGCCACTAGGGCTCTCTATTAAATCAATGGCTGCTTCTTGGGGTATAAGAAGATCATCAGAGGTATGATGAGATGGAGAGAAGCATTTGCTCGAATTCTCTCTGGGAGGTAGAAGGGATGTCCCTGAGAGCTGGGCAAACATCCCAAGATGTCCAGCTCTTTCTCCCTCTAAAACAGGGCTATATTGTGTTGGCAGCGAGGGTTTACACAGCGTTTCAGGTTTCCATTTAACGATTCCAACACAACTCATTGAGCAGTATCACTCACGTCCAGCACAGTGTGTGAACATTCTCATTCTTTCTGTTTGAGTTGTTCTGTTTCCATCAACCATCTAACCATGTTCCTGCCCGTTTACAGTCTCATCTTTGTTCTGTGGGAGCTGCTCATGGGCCGGGCTCACAGGGGAACCCAGTACACAAAGCGAGAGCTTTCGTGTTGTGAGCCCATCTGTCAATGAGCTGAAGGCGGCCACAGGTTCAGCTCTCACCCCAGGTTTAGGGAGACTCTCAGGGCATTCTCCTGCCCCGGCCAGTCCAGGAGGTCCAGCTTCTGTTTATTTGTTTTAGAAGGTTGAGGTTCCGCTCCACACTTGTCCCTCATTCTATCTGGATCCTCTACCGTGGCCCTGGGTGGCAGGTGTCTAGATAACTCACAGGATGCCGGTTTACGGAGCAGAGTTCAAATGAGGGTCCAGAGCTGAGCTGCCCAAGACTACGAGGGCCATGCTGAATCCCTTCACCTCCAAGGTCAGTCTTCAAACAAGTGAGCGATGCAGGCCTGTTGGTGGTGAGGGCAGGGCAGGAGGGCCCCTCACTTCCCAGCCAGCTCTGGTGAGAAGGCCTTAGCTTTACTCTCAAGTGACAGAGGCTAAGAGCACAATGAAGAAATGGTGTCGTCTGGATTTGGATGCAAGTCCACTGGTCCCCAGTGTCCTGCTCTCAAGTGCTATGAGCCCTTGATTCCTGGGAGGAAGGGGACGCACATCCTCACCGAAGGAAGCTGGGGACCCCTTTGGCCTCCAGCATGCAGTGAGAGCAGAGGCAGGAAGTGGGCCACCAGGAAGAAGCAAGTGTTTGGGCCAAGGATGGGGAGGTGCTTCTGCGTGTCCCTGATCAAGATGCTTAGAAGTTTCAGAGATCAGACAGCCTGACTCCACTTACACGTGTGGCCCTGGACAGCTGTCTTCATCTCTCTGAGCCTTTCTCTCCCTCCAGCAGACTGTGATGGGAAGGCCCTTCCCGTCAGGTGGCAGATTGTTAAGTGTGCTGAACAGGTGACGACACTCAGGATACGGGCTCAGCTTCCTGTGTGTCACCTGCCACAGGTTCTCAACGTGCCAGGATCCAGAGATCAGCTCAGCCCTGGGAGCTCCCATCTCTCCTCTGCGCGTGCGTGTGTGTGTGTGTGTGTGTGCGCGAGCGCGTGCGTGCATGTCCACAGGGGCAAGGCATGTAAGCTCAGGCCTGGCTCAGCTGACAGTAAGAAGACAGTCAAGGGAGCTTTGGTGGCCTAATGGCAAGAAGCTGCACTGTAATTCCAGAGGCACGCAGTTCAAATCCACCAGATGCTTTGCTGGAGAAGGAGGGACAAATTCCTCCTGTACCATTCAGATCTGATTTGATGGTACACACACACACACACACACACACACACACACACACACACTCTTTTTTTTTAAAAAAAAAAAAAGAAGACAGGGTCAACAGAACTGAAAACAGAAGACTTGGGCTGTGGGTCTCCATCTCATAGCTTAGGTCTCCCTATCCCCATAGAACCTTTTGTTTCCTAGGCAGGAACTAGCTGGATTCCCACAAAGAAACAGGAAGGAATAGGGCAAGCCTGGAATTGGCCTCTGGATACCACCCAATTCCTGGGGAAGTTACATCTAACCTCTGGACTTACTTGCCATAGTATAAGATGGTTTCAAGCTTGATGGCTCCATCCAAGTGGACATGGAGTTCCACCTGAAAGGGGACAGGAGAGGAGAGAAAGAAAACAGAACCCTCGTAAATCCTGGAGGAACTTTCAGAAAGTTAACGTATAATCAGATGATAATTATAATTAAAATTATAACAATGCGCCACCACTTACCAGATACTTACCAAATAATCATTATCAAATGCTGTGCACACACTATCTTGTTAATTGCTCAATTATTCTATCTCTTTCATAACTAAATAATCATTATCAAATGCTGTGCACAACACTATCTTATTAATTGCTCAATTATTATATCTATCTCTTTCAAACTGAGGTTCGGAGGGTTTAAATGACTTGTCCAAGGCCAATGATCAAGGCTACATACAAGTAAAGGAAGCAAGAACCCAACCCACACCACAACAAGATAAAGGTAAATAATCCAATAGAAAAATGGGCACAGGATATGAACAGGCACTTCACCGAAGACGACATTCAGATGGCTAAGCAGCACATGAAGAAATGCTCAAAATCCCTAGCCCTAAGAGAGATGCAAATTAAAACAACTATGAGATATCAT